AGCTTCCATAGCTCAAGGGGGATTCAAACCCTGGGCTCCTGAGTGATAGCCCAACACTCTAACCACTACACCACACTGGGTCTCCAGCATATTTTCTGAATGTCTCTTTGTCCCCCATGAATGGGGTTCTTCTTGTTTTGGGTGTTGGTTGACTGTGTTTGCTGTGGGTGCAATTCTGCCTTCAGAACATGCAGCTCGTTGCAAACTGATGTACTTTGGCAGTACAGGCAGTAACTGCAGTTGGAGGGAAATCCCGACGCAACTTTCAGTGTCCATTCAGCCTATCTACGGGACCGCCTCTCCTGGTATGCCCCACGGAGGACCACAAATGACAACACTTTGGAGGTCCCGAGCCTCAAGGAGGTTAGATTGGTCTCAACTAGGGCCAGGGCCTTTTTGGTACTGGCCCCGACTTGGTGGAACACTCTGTCACAAGAGACCAGGGCCCTGCGGGACTTAACATCTTTCCGCAGGGCCTGCAAGACAGAGCTGTTGTGCCTGGCCTTTGGTCTGGACTCTGTCTGACCCTTATGTTTCCCTCCCCTTATGGTCTTGATTTATCAGCTACTTTTTACAATGAGGCTGCATTTTAAATTGCATTTTAACCTGTATTTTAAATTGGTTTTTTTTCTTCTTCCCCCTATTATGTTTTTACTGTGATTTTATTGGTGTTAGCTGCCCTGAGCCCAGCTATTAACTATTATTAGCTAATAGCTAATAGCTAATAACTATTATTATTATTATTATTATTATTATTATTATTATTATTATCTCTTCTGCTCCGCTCAGCTTGAAGAGGCAAAAAATTTCCCTGGGGCAGAATAATACAGTGGTACCTCGGGTTACATACGCTTCAGGTTACAGACGCTTCAGGTTACAGACTCCACTAGCCCAGAAATAGTGCTTCAGGTTAAGAACTTTGCTTCAGGATGAGAACAGAAATCGTGCTCCGGCGGTGCGGCAGCAGCGGGAGGCCCCATTAGCTAAAGTGGTGCTTCAGGTTAAGAACAGTTTCAGGTTAAGAACAGACCTCCAGAGCGAATTAAGTACTTAACCCGAGGTACCACTGTATTACAGAAGGTCGTGATGATTGCTATCTGAAACCACCAGTGGCATAGCGTGGCTTGCTGGTGCCCGGGGCGGGGCAAGTGTTGCACCTTCCTTTTGGACTGGGCAGCTGGGCTGGGGCACATGCTGGGGGGGGCGTGTGGAGCCCATGCAGAGGGTGAATGGATTCAGCCTCCAACAGGCTCCTCACCTGCTGCCTCCATCCACCTGCCCACTAAACCAACCTGCCTGCTGCTGCTCCTCAGCTGCCAGGTCTCCATGCCTATCATGATTGTGCCCCTTCAAAAATGTGCCCTGCCACCTGGTCTCACCATGCTATGTCTCTGGAAACAATATCCACATTGGGCTGTATCTGACCAAATCGGAGTAGTCCCATTGAGTTCCACCAGCTTGACTTAAATCCATTGGTTTCAATGGGCCAGCTCTGAGTATGACTTAACCAGATTCCCCATCGGAAATCCAGCCTTGCAGGTGACAAGGGCATCTCAAACCACCTGGCAGTCATAGGAGAGCATCTCTCCCAGTCCCTACCTGATTCCCTGAATGCATCTATGATTCCATGAATTCGATAAATGTATGGTGCTGGAGGAGACCCTTGAGAGTCCCATGGACTGCAAGAAGATCAAACCTCTCCATTCTGAAGGAAATCAGCCCTGAGTGCTCACTGGAAGGACAGATCCTGAAGCTGAGGCTCCAAGACTTTGGCCACCTCGTGAGAAGAGAAGACTCCCTGGAAAAGACCCTGATGTTGGGGAAGATGGAGGGCACAAGGAGAAGGGGACGACAGAGGACGAGATGGTTGGACAGTGTTCTTGAAGCTACCAGCATGAGTTTGACCAAACTGTGGGAGGCAGTGGAAGACAGGAGTGCCTGGCGTGCTCTGGTCCAGGGGGTCACGAAGAGTCGGACACGACTAAACGACTAAACAACAACAACAACATCTGCACTTAGAGAGCCTGTGGTGGTGTATTGCTCAGAGTGTCGAACTCAGATCCGGGAGAGAAGAACCAGGGTTCAAATTCCCAGTCGGCCAAGCAAAGTTCATTGGGCTGTTGACTGCCTCTCAGGCCTCTCAGCCTGTCCTACCTCACAGGGTTGTTGTGAGGGTGAAACGGGGAGGAGGAGAACTACGCAAAGCCACCTTGAGTTCTTTGGAGGAAAGGAAGGGAATAAATGTAATGAATTTAAATGAACAAATAACACACACACCCCTTGCAATTACTTCTGGTATACTAATTTCTTTTAGCATTTGGCATCTGTTTCCTTCTACGATTCCTCCTAATATCATCAGTCTCCCATCATCTTTTTTTCTTAATTTTTATTGATTTTAACATATAAATTATAAAATGTACCACAAAACTTATCACTTATACAATCTTTTTAGACTTCCATCAGCACCTCTGATGATCCACCGTTTTAAGCACTTCTTATGCATTTCTTAACTTTATATTGCCTTTACATCTCTTAACAAATCATCCTTCCCCTTCTCCATTTTTGCAATACTTCCAATAATGCTCCTCACAAAAATTCTTGCAAACCCAGAAACGTCGTCTGATCTTCACAAATACTTCCACAAATAGTCCGCAAATTTACTCCAGTCTTCCGTGAATTTCTGGTCCTGCCGGTTTCGAATCCTTCCTGTTAGTTTATCTAGTTCTGCATAGTCCATTAACTTCATCCTATCAGTCTCCCATCATCAATAGACATTGCATTACTTTCCCCTTCACTTTATGCTCAAGATACTTCTATTGCACCATTTTGCAGTGCGCAGAAAGAGATCACACACCGTACAGGTGTCCTTTATTCCAATCTTTCTGTCCAGGGAGACAGCAATGCTTATCCCAAACTATTCACAGTATCCCTTTAACACCTGCCCATTGTCTGTATTTTCCAGGACCACCTCAGGTGTCTGATTTAACACCAAAGTACCTCAGCAGGAACATAAACCCTTCATCGAGGAAGCTATCCCCTCTGACATCTGCAGAGTATAACATCGGGTATCATTTCCTTCAGGATATTTCCATAGGATTCTGCGGAAGCCAATGAAAGCAAGCCCTGCTGAATCAGACCAAGGCTGGTCCATCTCACCCAGTATCCAGTTTCCAACAGGGGACAGCCAGGAACCTCTACGAAGCTCACAAGCGGGGCAACTGGTCTTACTAGATAGCCCTACCCTTCACAAGCAGAGCCAATCCTTTTTTTGGACCACCTGTGTAGGTGGCTCGCATCACCACTTCTTGTGGCAGTGAGTTCCATAAGCTAACTGTGCGCTTGCATGAAGAAGTCCTTTCTTTGTTCTGTCTGAGCCACCTGCTGGTGAATTTTTTTTAGCAAGTGGCCATAAGAACAAATTATACTACCAAAGAAAGAAAGGCAACTGTGTGCTTTCTCAACACCCTGATCATATCCTCTCTCGATTAAAAAGCCCCGTGTGATTTTAACTCTCCTCGGGTCAAGGTCCCCAACTCTTTTAGCTGCGATTGCGGCGGGTTGGACTAGGTGACCCTTTGAGTTCCTTCCAGCTACAATTCTATGATTCTGAGTTACCCTTTTCTGCATCCTTTTCAACCCTCTGTTTTTAGATTTGCCATTTGCTTTTCACTTCCATGCTGTGCCATATCTGATTTTGTCCACCTGTTCACACACACATGCACACACACACCTAGATAACTTCATCGTTTGGGGATGAGAGAAACCCAGTCACACAATTGTGGTTTTTCAGCTGATGCACCTGGTCTGGAAGAACACAAGCTGGTTTTTTTTTCCAGGCACCTTTTCCAGAGCAGAATCTACCCCGCAAATGCTTCAGATGGAGCAATGCTCAGCTTAGAATGGGCAACATACAGATCTGAGTCCAGGAGCTGGGATTTTAGTTCTCTGGGGAGCCCTCGGGAGACGGAGGAAGGTGAGAATATGGCCTGCCTCATCCCCATCAGCTAGGCCTGGCTGGTGTGCCCACCTATCCCACGATCAGTTCCACTAACAGGTTCTTCAGGATTCTGGAGTGCCTGACAGCCTGCACGACCTATTTGATTGCAGATGAAAGCAGGGCACAAAAGATGGGTGAGGACAAGTGATGACAAACCATCAGTGAAGCCTCTATTATAACACCTTGAAAGAAAATGTCTCTGACCTCTTAATGCCTTTCCTCACTCCCTGCCCTGATTCACTTACTGGGTCTCGGGGTGACACTCATGCCCTCTCCTTCCCACTCTATCCTATCCAGAGCTATCTGGATAGGGGACGAGAACTGGGGTGTGTGTGATAGGGGGATTTCTGTCTTATCTGGTCTTTTGAATCAAACACAGGACCAGCTGGTTCATACCTAAAGCCTTGTGCCTGACTTAATTTGAACACGCATCCCGAACAATTCTTGCCCTGCCTTGAAAAATATTCCCAGACTAGCATTATTGACAATATCTCAAGGTGAGTGCATTGACCTTCTAAGAAACTGATAATTTTTTTAGTAGCAGCTTATAGCCGCAACCTGGAAGAGTTTTGAATACATGCAGATCTCCTGGTGGCAATAAGAAAGCATGGACAATAGCTTTGTCTGAAAAATTGAGCAAATAAGCGAAAACCTCGACAGAAAAAAATCTCGACTGAGAGTTCCACGAAGTGGCGTCCTCTGGACTCCCAGTTACAGCTCTGGAGAAATGTTTTCCCATAATCGCTCTGCTCTTGGGGAGAGCGGGGATAGGGGATAGTGGGGTATCTGTGTATTTACTTTATAAAATTAAAAATTAAATTAAAAAAGGAGATTTTGCCAGAGCAGTTTGAAATCGAGCACAACGGACGGCAAATTGCGAACACCTGTCGCAGCATTCGCAAGACCGGCTCGGCACCGAAATCGACCTGTGTTGGCACCGCGTGGTGCGAATAAGCACGGCTCTGGAGCCGAAACCGAACGACCGAGTGGACGCGACCCCTACCTCGTTTCTTCCTCCTGGCTTGAGCGAGCATTTCCATGGAGTTTACGAATAACAGCAACAGGAACAGAATCCACTGCATCTGGCCAGAAATAAATTGGCGCAAGGGAAGAATCAGATCATTCAGGCGGCTGACAGTTCTCCTGCTGCCAAGCGCAGATTGAGCAAAAGGGGAAAACAGCTCTCTCTCTCCCTTTCTCTTTTTGGAGGGGAGTGGGATAACAGAAAAAAGAAGCGGGGGGAGAGAAAACGATGGGGACGAAAGCACGGTTCACAGCATCCCCCGTGAGGTGGGTCGTGGCACCAGCTGGTCACCAAATGTGGGCTCTCTATGGTGGCATCAGGGAAGATGGCAGGAGTTCAGCGGCCGGTCCCAAGAACCATGGCGCAGAAGAAGCTTCGGTGGCAGATCCAGGGCACTCTTAGAAGTGGCAGTTCTCCTCCTCACCTGTCTCACGGGCAGCACTGCCAGGCCAAAGGGAACAAAACCTGCAAAGTTCCCCCTCTGCAGAGCTCCAGGCTTCACCTCTGCGGAGAGCTGCTGGTCTGCCTTGCGCCGCTCAAGCTGAACTTCTGCCATGACTCGGAAATCAGGTTCAATGTAAAGCCCTTCCAAATTATCGGGGTGGAGTCAGGGAATTAACCGTGTCCCTGCCGGCGAGCCGCTCGTTCACCCTTGCCCCCGTGTCGCCGTGGCCCCCCCCCCCCCCCCCGTTAAAGAAAGACAGACTCCGACAGACTTTCTGGATTAGTCAGACACAAATGCTGGTCTCTCCCCCAGACTTTATTTCAGAAAGGGGAAATTTAATCACTTCAATTTACTCAGCCGCATTCCATATGACAAAGTCGGTGTCTTTTGGCAGGGGGTATGAACAGCCAGAGAGAGAGAGAGAGAGAAATGAAAATCAAAGGGACTCACTCTTTGCATTTTTACAGCCAGTGTTTATTACAGCAACTAATAAATTTTCATTTGTTAGCTACTGACCTGGGACGTTTGTTTCCCAACGTTATCTCTGCATCGTGGGTGATTCGCTTCTTCATTCGCTTCAAGTGAGCAAAACAACAGCAGATTTCTTCTGTGTGTCTTGCGTGTTCGTTAGCTGCAGTGCTGCTCTATGAATTTTCCACACATTTTCGGCCAAAAATGAACGTTCTCCTGGAAAGGAAAATCCAGATAGATTTTTAAGGGGCGAAACAACAAAGGTCAGAAAACAAGAGGCAGCTGCTTTTTTAAAAAAATGGAATAATTTCCCTCTCACAACTGAGCTTCTAATCATTCACATTATCTACATTCGGACACAACACCATTGCACAGTAATATTAAGGAGGGGGGCAGCCTGGTAAACTTCTTTAAATAGTGAAACTGCCATTTTAATTTCCCCCCAAAATAGCAGCTTAATCCTCCTGCTGACGGAGCGTATTGAACATAAACTTCAATCTTCTTTGCTTTTTAAGATTTGGAAATCTTTGAAATGAAGAATGTTTGTGTGTCAACATTTAGGTATTCATTTAGCAATATTTATATGCCACTTAATCAAACATATCTCTGAAACCATTAAAGATAAAGGATAAAGGGACCCCTGATCATTAGGTCCAGTTGTGACCAACTCTGGGGTTGCGGCTCTCATCTCGCTTTATTGGCCGAGGGAGCCGGTGTACAGCTTCCGGGTCATGTGGCCAGCATGACTAAGCCACTTCTGGCGAACCAGAGCAGCGCACGGAAAGGCCGTTTACCTTCCCGCTGGAGCGGTACCTATTTATCTACTTGCACTTTGACGTGCTTTCGAACTGCTAGGTGGGCAGGAGCAGGGACCGAGCAACGGGAGCTCACCCTGTCGTGGGGATTCAAACCACCAACCTTCTGATTGGCAAGTCCTAGGCTCTGTGGTTTAACCCACAGCGCCACCCGCGTCCATTATGCATCTCTAAAAAGGGCATGAAATATGCATGCAAAATGATGGTTAAAAACTTTCACAATTAAATGAAAAGATGGCTGCGTATTAATTTATTATTTCTTCTCTCTCTCTGCCCCCCACCCATCTGCATCCTGCAGTTAAAAAGTAGTATCACACCACTTTAAACATTCATGGCTTCCCCCAGAGAATCATGGGAAGTGTAGTTAAGGGTGCTGAGAATTGTTAGGAGACCCCTGCCCCCTATTTCTCTCACAGAACTACAATTCCCAGAGTTCCCTGGGAGGACTGACTGGCTGTTAAACACTTCTGAGAATTGTCATTTTTTTGTGGAAAGTCATCAGCATTTTCATGCAAATTTATCCTAATATGCACATGTTTGCATGAAATTGTGCCTAATTATGCACCTTTTTGCAAAGCAATTTCCCTGAACGTAATGCATTTTTGTACACTGTTTTTTACTGATATGTGGCTTATCCATGCACATTTCATACCCCAGTATATGCATTTTGGTAAACATTCCTAGGCTGGAGAAAATGCATCGCAAAATTCACCTACAAATGCAAACAGGATCAAATTTCTCCCCCATCCCTAGTGGGAAGGAAAATTGCTGGGGGAGGTGATCTGTAGCAGGATCATACCTTATTGACATTAAGAACTTGGGGCTTTCTGTCCTTTCCACCTTAGTTCTGGGTCTCCAGAACCGTGGAAATATTTCACATTTCGTCCTTTAGCCTTCCAAACTCAGCGGGACCTGAGAATCTTGGGTTTCTCCACCTCCTGCAATATTAAAGAAAGGTTTTCCCCTAACGTTCGACCTCAGCAAAGGCTTCTTGCTTCTTGCCTTCCTTTTATAGATTCTCCTTCTTGCTATCTGAGAACAGCATGTGCACGGCTGGAGGTGGATGAGGGTCAGAAAGAAAGCCACAGATACCTACAAATTTAATGTTGGCGTGCAAAATGATTTTGGCACCTTGGGTTCGGCAAATATGTTCCAGTCCCGAACATCTCCCCTTTAATCTTCTGTTCTCGAGTGTCAGGAAGTGGTGTTCCTTCATCTCTTCCGCCTACAATTTTTCTTCTAGATCTTTGATCAGCTCCATAACTCTGGAGAAATCCTCTCCAACTTTCCAGTGCTTTGCCAGGGCTGCGGTTGCCTAGAAAAGACTCTTTGTACTGGAGACTTTGAAGGGCCAAGCTGCATGTTACCTGGGGCTGGATTCAACCAGTCAGACTAGTGAGAGCCAGAACATGGGCACTGCTAGTGCAATAGGGCTTTCTTCCCCACCAGCCCATGCTTCCCTGCTGCCCCCCAAATTGGCCTGGGGGTGGCCTTGGAAAAGTCCTCAGAACAGCACGATTGGGGAAGAGAGAGGAGAACATTTCAGCCAGCAAGCAGAAACATTTCAGCTAAACATATGAACTTAACAACCGTGCTCCTATCTGGACAAGGATAACTGTTATGTACTGAGTTGAATAGGATCCTAAATGCAGCAGTCTGATTGGTCCTTGTTAAGGTGTGAGTGAACATATCAGCCGACACAGCGATTCTTCAAACAGCTCTTGTTTATTCACAGGCCAGGACAGAACTGAACTGAAGGGCTCAGTCAGCCTGCTTATATAGAGCTCCAGTACCACGTTACTGTAACAACTTTCTAAAACTATCCAATCACTGAACGTCACTTTTGATCCTTCATTTGCATAACTATCTACAGTATCCCCCTGCTGGCCCAGGGTGAGAACTTCAGTACATAACAGTCCTAGAACAATAGGATCCAAAATGCAGCAGTCTGATTGGTTCTAGAACAATAGCATTCAGAATGCAGCAGTCTGATTGGTCCTAGAACAATAGGATTCAGAATGCAGCCGTCTGATTGGTCCTAAAACAATAGGATTCAGAATGCAGCAGTCTGATTGGTCCTAGAACAATGCAGCAGTATGATTGGTCCGCAGAAGCCCCCAATCCAGCTCCAGGTAGAAGTGAATCTGCAACCTGATTGGCCTACAGGAGAATCCCGGAATTAGCCAATCACATGAGGGCCATTGTGTAAATGATGTATATAAAGCAGATATTTGGGGGGAACTTCCATTCCTCCTCACCACTATGAGATGAATAAAGAGCACGAAATCCACTCTTGCCTCCGAGTATATTTCAATAACCTACCTAACTTCTGTCATCTGTGCTCTGGTAACTGCTAGGTTACTGCAATGCGTTTTTCATGGGACTAACTCATGAAAATGATTTCGAAAATTCAGCTGGTGCCGAATTCAGTGGCCAGGTTGTTCACCCGAGCAAGATGGTTTGAGTGTATTACAACAATCTTGAGCCAACTGAACTGGCTGCCATTCAGTTTCCGGTCCCAATTCAGAGTGCTGGTTTTGACCTTAAACGGCTCAGGACTGCAATACCTCAAGGACCGCCTCTCTCCATATGAACCTACCTGGACCCTGAGATCACCATCTGAGGCCCTCCTTTGTGTGCCTCCTCCTCAAGAGGCCCAGAGGGTGGCCACATGAGAACGGGGCCTTCTCTGCGGTGGCTCCCCATCTGTGGAACACTCTCCCCAGGGAAGTTTGCCTGGCACCTTCAATATATATTTTTAGGCACCAGGTAAAAATGTTCCTCTTCAGCCAGGCCTTTTTGGGTTATCAGCATTCTGTTGTCTTTCAAGCATGCTAGTGGGAGGGGGGTATTTATTATTGTTGTTGTTGTTGTTGTTGTTGTTAATTTATTTTGTGTTCTCGCTTTCTGTTTTTATATTGTGCAGCAGCCTGTGATTTTCAGATGAAGAGTGGTATACTAAGCAAACAAACAAAGCAAAATTGAATTCCTCCATTAGACTCCTTTTTCCATTTTAAAAACTATTTCTATACTACCAACTCACATACACCCTCTAGGTGATGCACACAAATATACACAGGTACAAAAAAAACCACAAAATGCCTGGCAGGGACGACAAAACAATCCAAATAGTTATTAAAATGATCAGCTAATCAAGGAAGCTGCCTAGGCCTGTCAGAGGCAGAAGATGCTCAAGAGAAATCTGGAAGTCAACAGTGAGGAGCCCTGCAGAATTTCTGCAGGGAAAATATTCCATCGCAGGCAGCTAGTGACTAAATTAAAGCATGCCTGACCTATAGTTGAAGGCAGCTGGGCTTCGGCAACATGGCGGGGCCACCAACAGCTCCTCCTGAGCACCTTAGTTGCCATACAGACCATTTGAAGCACAGTTAGAGCAAATACACGTGCACCCCCAAAGAATTCTGGGAACTGTAGTTCTGAAAGGAGTAAACCGCAGTTCCCAGGATTCTTCGGGAGGGATGTGCTTTAAACGTTTGGAG